GAGCTTCACCCCCTCGGCTGCACCCCCACCCCAGATTGGGGTGAGGGAGGAGCCTCCTCGTCGCCACAGCCGTTGAGCACTCCCCACACCCTCAGGCCACGGTTGCGATGGCAACTGGGGTTTCTGCCAGCTCCATTTGGGGGTTTGGGAACCGCTGCTAATTGGGTTCATGTGTGAGTCGCCCCCAGCCCAGCCCAGAGCCTTGCTAAACACGCCCCCAGGCCCGGCTCCAGCCTCTCTCAACCCACCTCTCTTACCTTAAGACCCGCCCCTCTCTGGTACCCTAGATCCCAGAGCCTGGGGCTCGGAATGCCAGGTTCTCAGTGGGAAAATCCTGGCACGCCTGCATCTATCTTTTCCATCTTCTGACTTCCAACTTTGCTTTTGTCTTGTGGCATTGAGAGGATCTTCAAGCTGAGGAGGGGGAAGCATAGCACGGCTTGGGGGCCGGTCATTGCAGGAACCTAGACGTCTCACCTGCTTCTTTCTCTCTATTTCCTTCTACCCCCACCCCCATTGACAGAACTGGACTCAGAGGATGCCCCGCCATGCTGCCGCTTGGCCCTGGGGGAGCCCCCTCCCTATGGAGCTGCCCCTATTGGCATTCCCAGGCCTCCGCCCCCTCGACCTGGCATGCACTCACCACCGCCCCGCCCAGCCCCTTCACCTGGCACCTGGGAGAGCCAGCCTGCCCGGTCGGTGAGGCTGGGGGGACCAGGCGGGGGTTCTGGAGGTGCTTCTGGAGGTGGCCGTGTTCTTGAGTGTCCCAGCATCCGCATCACCTCCATCTCTCCTACCCCCGATCCCCCGGCCCCACTAGAAGACAACCCTGACCCTTGGGGGGATGGCTCTCCTAGAGATTACCCCCCACCAGAAGGCTTTGGGGGTTACCGAGAGGCCGGGGCCCAGGGTGGGGGGGCCTTCTTCAGCCCCAGCCCTGGCAGCAGCAGCCTGTCCTCCTGGAGCTTCTTCTCCGATGCCTCGGACGAGGCAGCCCTGTACGCGGCATGCGATGAGGTGGAGTCTGAGCTGAATGAAGCAGCTTCCCGCTTTGGCCTTGGCTCTCCGCTGCCCTCGCCCCGGGCTTCCCCTAGGCCATGGACCCCGGAGGATCCCTGGAGCCTATATGGTCCAAGCCCTGGAGGCCGAGGGCCTGAGGATAGCTGGCTACTCCTCAGTGCACCTGGGCCCACCCCATCCTCTCCCCGGCCTGCCTCTCCTTGTGGCAAGCGGCGCTATTCCAGTTCTGGAACCCCATCTTCAGCTTCCCCGGCCCTGTCCCGTCGAGGCAGCCTGGGGGAAGAGGGGCCTGAGCCACCTCCACCACCTCCATTACCTCTGGCCCGGGACGCTGGCTCCCCTGGCCCCTTTGACTACTCGGGGGCCCCACCAGCTGAGAGCATTCCCCAGAAGACCCGGCGAACTTCAAGCGAGCAGGCAGTGGCCCTGCCTCGAGCTGAGGAGACTGCCCCATGCAATGGGAAGCTGCCTTTGGGAGCAGAGGAGGCTGTGGCTCCTCCCGGGGGTCCCCGGAAGGAGGTGGCCAGCATGGACTACCTGGCAGTGCCGTCTCCCCTTGCTTGGTCCAAGGCTCGGATTGGGGGACACAGCCCCATCTTCAGGTGAGGGTTGCATCTAGCAGCATAGCTCTTTCTAACCCTCTGGGGCAACAGGAGGGTCAAGGGCTAGTTTTAAGAGAGATCTTAGTTCTTGGTGCCATCCACACATTTCGGAATAGAACTATGGGGCTCCTGCTGCTTATCTCATTTTAAGAAGAATTAGTAAAAGTGTACCTCTTCAGAATTTGCAGAAGGGCAACAGATCCCTGTGGGCCAATTAGAAAAAGCTTCCTCCCCACACAATTCTAGGAGGACCAGTTAGGTAAAGGCAGAGGGCAGTTCCTTTAGGGTGTCCCAGAGCCCCAGCTCTGCCCTGTGGCTGAGTGCGGAACTTGGGCTGGATTTTAGCCTTCCTCTCTGATACTTTAGAGGCATGCTAGCTCTATGATCTTATAGGAAATTCCTCTTGTCTAACTCTTAATTTCTAGGGCCTGATGTACTGATTTAAAACCTAACTGCTTATTAAAAAAAAGAAAAACATATATTTGCAAGCCTGCAGTTCTACTCTTTGAACTCCCAAAGAATGCTGCCTATTTCAATAATATTAAACACTGCCGGTGTGGTAGCACTCACCTATAGTTCCAGCACTTGGAAGGCTGAGGCAGGAGGATCACCATAAGTTTGAGGCCAGCCTGGACTACATAGTGAGTTCAAGGCCAGCCTGAACTACATAGCAATACCGTGTTTCAAAACAAACACATAAATAAACAATCTTAAAACCTAGGATGTCAGTCTGAGCTGACTTCATGCAGAAGAAGTTTCTAGAGGAGAGAACAGAGCATACTATAGGGTTTCCATAGGACAAGGTTTTACAGTCTCAGCATCACTGACATCTTCAGCTGGTAATTTGTTTTGTGGGGTGGAACTGGGCATTGTAGCATGGTTTAGCAGCTTCCCTGGCCTCTACTCATTAGGCACTAGGAGTACCCTCTCCACTAGTTGTGACATTAAAAAATGTCTCTAGATATTGACAGATATCACCAAGAGAGGACTGATTACCAGTTGAAATCTGCTGACCTAGGGTATCTGAGAGGGTAACATAGTAAAAGTCACCCCATTTGAGACACCTTAGCACCCTGGAACATTACTTACCCAGCCTCAACTAGTGGAAAAAGAGCTAGCCTGGGAGCAGAAAGCGATCAGCAGGTTCTGTGGGTGGCTGCAGGACTCAGCTTATTTGTAAAACAAAGGGGGATCACTTCTCTTGCCTTTTCTGGTCTGTGGCACTGTGTTGCTCTGCCTGTCCCAACCCCAAACCCTGCCCTCAGAGCTGGGAATAGAGAGTCTCAGGGTGTTGTTAGCTTCACATCCTCATCTCAAGGGGCTCTGTCCCTTTATCTTTCCCTACTTCTGGGCTTTTGGACTACTTCTGTGATTTTCTCTTTCTCCCTACTGATACTCCTCCCTCACAGACTCCGCCTGGTCCTGACTGGGATCAGGCTGCAGATGATCAGTGTTCTTCTCTCCTACCCAGGACTTCTGCTCTGCCCCCTCTGGACTGGCCTCTGCCTAGCCAGTATGAGCAGTTGGAGCTGAGGATCGAGGTACAGCCTAGAGCTCACCACCGGGCTCACTATGAGACAGAAGGCAGTCGAGGAGCTGTCAAAGCTGCTCCTGGTGGCCACCCAGTAGTCAAGGTAAGGGGCAGAGGGCAGGCCTCCTATCCTGTCTCCTTTCCCATCCCAGATCCTTGCAGACGGGCTTTAACTGTACAGAGACCCATGGCACTGCCCTTTCCCACACTCCCTCTCAGCTCTGACCCTGCAGGCCGCCTGGGGGAAGGGCTGAAGTAGGGGGAGGAGGGTGCACTTCAAGGACCCGGATATACTTTCTGCTCTTCTGTCCTCTTACCCCCACTGGACTCATCCCGTGAGAGACCAGCCTCATGTCTACTCTCAAAAAAACGGTGGCCTGCCAGATGTGGGGGAGGGGTTCAGCTGAGGCCAAAGGTTACTGGGAGTTAGGTTTTCTCTATATTGAGTTAGGCCAGTCTCTCTTGGAAGCTCTTCCTCCTTTGCCCAGCCAAGCTTGGGCTTTATTCCAAGAATAACACTGTGAAATCCAGGCCACGTTTTCTCCACAACTGGTACCCAGTCACCCCAGGGAATCCCTTCCAGGATATCCTTTATCTTTCACCATCTCTGCCCCCTGGTGGACTGAAAATCCAGGCATGGATGAAGGAAGAAACTTGGGGCTTTCTCTTAGGTGGCCTCTGTCTCTCTCTGCCAGCTCCTAGGCTACAGTGAGAAGCCACTGACCCTACAGATGTTCATTGGCACTGCAGATGAAAGAAACCTGCGGCCTCATGCCTTCTATCAAGTACACCGTATCACGGGCAAGATGGTGGCTACAGCCAGCTATGAAGCTGTTGTTAGTGGTACCAAAGTGTTGGAGATGACCCTGCTCCCTGAGAACAACATGGCTGCCAAGTAAGTCCCCCCAAGTCTGCCCAAGTTAGGACCAGTAAGGCCCACGCTTCCTCTTTCCAGAAGAGGTAGACATCATCGCTAGGAGCTGGGCAACACCTTGTAAGGCCATCTCTGGATTAGAAAGTTGTCCTTCCAGGCACCCTGAGAAGGTCTTGGGGCTTTGGGTGGAGGGTGGGGCTCCCCTCTTTGGGGGATGTGTCACTATTCCAGCTTCAACTAGGAGGGCTCCCCATCCATTCTTTGCCCTCAGCATTGACTGTGCTGGAATCCTGAAGCTTCGAAATTCAGACATTGAGCTGCGGAAGGGTGAGACGGACATCGGGCGAAAAAACACACGTGTGCGGCTGGTGTTCCGGGTGCACGTACCCCAAGGCGGTGGGAAGGTCATCTCTGTGCAGGCAGCATCAGTGCCCATCGAGTGCTGTGAGCAAAGAGGCTTTGGGCATCCCTGTCTTTTGAAATTCTCTTGTCTGTGTATTTGTCACCCATTTCCTCTGTATAGTGTCCTGTGCCCTGTCTGCCCTGGGTATCCCTAAAGAGTACTTAGCCCTCACTTCCACCATGGATGTGGGAGTGGTAAGGGTGGAGTTCTGTTTGTCTCTGCTACAGACTGTCTCTCTCTGGGCTGCTCCAGAGTGACCCTGTCCCCTAGCTGCCCCTGAGGTGGCCTGTGCACTTGTTTGGGTAACTCCCTGGCCTATCCTGTTCACTCTTTCTGCTCTAGGAGTGGTCCTTTACTGGTTCATGTGAGCTCATGGATGCTATTGGTTTACTTGTATGTCTTTCACTGAAGTGAGTTCCCCCAGGGCCAGTGGCAGTTACTACACAGAGGGTGGGCAGAGGAGGCCGTTTCCTCCATGCTCAGCCCAGCCTGGCCTCTTCCCTGCACTGCTCTGCAGCCCAGCGCTCAGCCCAGGAGCTGCCACAGGTGGAGGCCTACAGTCCCAGCGCTTGTTCTGTGAGGGGAGGTGAAGAATTAGTGCTGACTGGCTCCAACTTCCTGCCAGACTCCAAGGTGGTGTTCATTGAGAGGGGCCCTGGTGAGTAGTCACCTGGGCTGGAGATGGTGGGCAGGAAGAGCTTGGGACTGGCAGATGGAAGAGCTCTGGAACTGTGATAAAACTAGCAAGTTGAGCCTCAGTTTCTTTATCTAATGGGTCAGACAGACTATGTCCCCGTTGCACTGTCTGCCTCCCAGGGGGAGATGGGTATGATAACAATCTAAAATGGTGAGAATGCTGAACAAATATGAGAAATTGGTATCTTGTTTGTTAAAAAGGAGTCAGCCTTGAGGTAAATTTGCCTCATGTAGAAAGGGCATATGAAAAGAAAGGGTGACTCACACTTTCAGTTTGCCGAGGCCCCTCTGAGCTATGGGACATAAGATTGTGAGAGCTTGAAAGGTCCCTCGATGGAACTCTAGGGGCAGAGGAAGGCAACACTGAGGGTTTCTGCTGTGGCAGCCACCTTGCTCACCAGAAGCCCAGCCCCTAGACCCACTGGGCACCCTGGACCATGTCAGAGAGTCCTCAGCAGTTCTGAGTCATGGAACCTGGAGGTTTCACTGCGTTTTTTTCAAACCAGAGCACTTTACCGGCCAGGATTATCGTGGGAGGGTTTCAGAGTTGCTTCTGTCCCTCTAGTCCCTTGCCATTTGCTTTGGCCTTAGATTGCTTTCCTTTACCTTGGGGGCAATTTAGAACCCTGGCTCTTCTATTGGATTGAGTGAACACCCAGCAGACTCTATGTGCCAGACTTCCTATGGACATTTTGAATTTATCCTTGCTCTAGCAGGAGGGGAAATCACAGGGGGCTAGGAGAGGAGGCAGGGATCCTGGAGTTAAGCTGGAGCACTCTGTTTCCCCTGCACAGATGGAAAGCTGCAATGGGAGGAGGAGGCCACAGTGAACCGGTTGCAGAGCAATGAGGTACCAGTGTCCCTGGGGTATCTAGTCCAGGAGTCAGGGTGAGAGAAGTCAAGAAATTTTCCAGCAGCTCCCCTTACCCGTGGAAGTGAATTCCCAAGCTATCTATTCTTTTCGGAAGGAGTCTCTGGAAGCAGGTTCATCTCACAAGGAGCTTTACTCCTTAGTGAAAGGAGAAAGCTGGGAGGTCAGGTGCGGGTCTTGGGAAGTTCTGGGCCGACCTCCACGCCCTGAAGGCTCCCTACATCATCCTTTGCTTTTCTCCAGGTGACACTGACCCTGACTGTCCCCGAGTACAGCAACAAGCGAGTGTCCCGGCCAGTCCAGGTCTACTTTTATGTCTCCAATGGACGGAGGAAGCGCAGTCCTACCCAGAGTTTCAAGTTCCTGCCTGGTGCGCCTAAGACAGCCTGTCATGAGGGTAGAGGAGTATGGGGAGTAGAAGCTGGGCAGAGGGGTGCAGTGCCCATCACGAGGGGCAGAGATGGCTGGAAAATGTGCAGTGGGGATGTTGCCAGACTCTCACCAGTGTGCCCTTCTGCTTTCCCCATCTTTCCAGTGATCTTCAAGGAGGAGCCCCTACCTGACTCATCTCTCCGGGGCTTCCCTTCAGCATCGGGACCCCCCTTCGGCACTGACATGGACTTCTCACCACCGAGGCCCCCCTACCCTTCCTATCCCCATGAAGACCCTGCTTATGAAACCCCTTACCTGTCAGAAGGCTTTGGCTACGGCACACCCCCTCTGTATCCCCAGACCGGGCCCCCACCGTCCTACAGACCAGGCCTGCGTATGTTCCCCGAAACTGGGGATACCACGGGTTGTGTCCGCCCGCCTCCAGTCTCCTTCCTTCCCCGCCCCTTCCCTAGTGACCTGTATGGAGAACGGGGCTCCTCTTTTCCACTAGGGATTCCATTCCCTCCTCCAGCCCCCTTTCGGTCTCCACTACCGTCATCCCCACCACTCGAAGGCCCCTTCCCTCCCCAGAGTAGTGTTCCTCCCTTACCTACTGAGGGGTACAATGAGGTAGGGCCTGGATACGGCCCTGGGGAAGGGGCCCCGGAGCAGGAGAAATCCAGGGGTGGCTACAGCAGCGGCTTCCGAGACAGTGTCCCTATCCAGGGTATCACGCTGGAGGAAGGTGGGTGTGGACTGGGGCTGTGCATGTGAGTGGGTGCGAGACAATGCGCTGCATGTTTACTGAGGGCTAGAGTTTGGCTTCTCAGAGACTGGGCATCCTTGGTCTCTCAGGGCCGGTTGGAGGATCCTGGCAGCAAGGCCGTGGTGCATGTGGCCACCTGAATTTAGTTAATTTAATTTGGAAGTATGCATGGGGTACCTGCCCCAGTTTTTGTCCTGCTTCTGCCCTCTGCTCAAATCACAAAATCTCAAGCTAGAAGTACTTTCAAGGTCATTGCACCCAGCTCTCTGAATTTGCAGATCCACATATTGAATTTCAGAGAGGGGCAGTGGCTTGTTGAGGTCCTCATACACACATTCCCCCTCCTCAGTGTCCCCTTGGCATAAGTTTCTGTGGTCAGCATTGATGATGAGAAGCCTTCCCGTTTTGCCTCTTCTTTCTCTCAATGGCTACACCCACATTTGATGCTCCTGATCCTGATTGCCCCAACATTGCAGGCCAAGCCAGGAAGAACAGGCTGGGAGGGGGCCCTGGGAGCCCATGTGGATAGAGTTGGGCAAGATTTGGTTAGGAGCAGGTGTCAAGGCACATTGGGGAAACTGAGGCCCAGTGAAAGAGGAGTCTAGATGTGTCCTAGACCAAGTCCTGCCTGGAATGGAATGGGGGTCTCTGGAAAAGGAGGGGACCTGCTCTTAGCTTAGTCTCTCAACTGCTCCTCCTTTACAGTGAGTGAGATCATTGTCCGAGACCTGAGTGGCTTTCCTGCACCTCCTGGAGAAGAGCCTCCTGCCTGAACTGCTGCTGGCAACCCTAGCCACGGCCTCAACCCTGCCTTCGTGGGCTCCTTCTTGGGGTGCAAGCTCCAGAAGCTTGGGCCCGTCTCCCATTTCTCTTTGCTCAGCTTCTGCCCGTCTCTCTGACTCCCCTCCCCCAGCTAAGGTGTGGCCCCTGGGCCTGGTGCTGCTTTGAAGGGCCAGGGAAGGGAGAGTGTGGAAGAGAGGAGGTGGGGGTGGAGACTGAGGCTGAGCGCCAGAACTGACCAGGGCGAAGACAATGTCCAGACTGTGTGCGGGCTATGGTGCCGGGAGGCCGGGGACAAGTTGATGGGTAATAAACTGGTCACTCATTAGTACTTCAGGCTCCAGAGCTCTTTGGAGAGAGGGGTGGTACAGCTTACTCATGCCCTGGACCAAGGAGGCTGGAAGTTGGAAGGAGGTAAAGTATGGCTGGGAAAATCGCAGCCCAAGGAGCTTCTTAGTGGAGGGGGGTGGGGGAGCATGGGTCCAGAGGGTTCCTGACTCAGGCTAGGACTTGAGTAGTCTTCTCCACTCTTTTCTTTCTTGGGGTTCAGGTTCCTTTAGGAGTTTTGGGATGGGGCTTAGGAATCTGTTTTTTCAAGTTTCTTTGTCTTACAGTGAATCTGATTCATAACTAAGGTGCAGAAACACTAGTCTAGTTACTCTCTGATTTATGGAGGAAGAATCTGGGTTCAGAGAGGGACAAGGGCTTGCTCAAGGTCACATAGCTAATCAGCAGCCGATGAATGGTGCACTCCTGGCTTTCTGCCTCCAGCTGTGTATTCACACTTGCACAGCCTGACCCAGGAGGCTCAGGGCTGGAGGCTCATTCCTGAATAAGGGAGAGGATGACGAAGAGCTGGCAAGGATCTACGCACACTGTGGAGTCTCCTACTTCTGGAGACCTTGAAGACATCCCGGAACGATGTGTGCTTCAGAGGTGACTGAGGGAAGCCAGACAGTCTCCTCTGCAGCAGCTCTGAGACTCAGCATTGTATGGGTTCCTGACTTGTCCTGTAGATGTACCCCTGCTGGTGTCTAGGTAGCTGGTGCCTCATTATTGACTGGCCCAGGCTGGAAAGCTGCTCTGTCCTCTGTCTTGATGGCTGGTGAGCTGGGAAAAGTCAGCTGTATTTGCCCACTCATGAGGAGCCTGGCCCAGGCAGCAGGCACTGAGCATGGCCAGCTTCACTGCCCAGTTCCCCTGCAGGGGATGTAACCAGAAGACTTTCAGAGTCAGTACTGGGGACACTCGCCTCACTTCAAAGTAGACAGAGATTCTCTATGCCCAGTGAATCCAGACAGTCCTGGCAATTTCCAGGAGGACTCAGGTGAGTGTGATGGAAGTTGGCTGTGGACTGGTGGACAAGAGAATCAGGGTGATCGTGTCCTGCTGCTGTCTTATAATGAAGTTCCTTTATTTCTCTGACAAACTGTTGCAAACCAAAGTGACATCAAGTGATCAGCTCAGCAGGCCTTGGTGGCTTTTCAAAGGTCCCCTCCAGCCAGAGTCATTACCCTATAATCTTCATGTCAGAGGGGGGTCACAGGACACGTGTGTCACATCTAGCATTCTTCATCTCCATCCTCAAGATTTCTGACAGCGTGTGTCAGTTTCTGTGAGAATGAAAAGTTGTCACAATGGGGAACCATTTAGTTTTCTGCTAGGGCATTGCCATTCACATGATGTCAAACATTTATTGAGCAGCCCTCTCCTAGCCCCCTGGGGCAACAGTAAGTAGGCTCATTAGAGTTCAACAATTCAACTCAGTAAATGTTTCCTGTACAGAGAATACTATCAAACCCTGGGTTAGGGAGTATAATGCTTTTTATACAGGTTGTAGAGGGAACAGAGCACAGAGGCTGTTCATTCAGTTGGGGAGGTTTAAAAGACTTCTAAATTGTGATATGAAGAATGACTAAGAGTTGATTAGGCTAAGACTAGGGAAAAGATAGGCCAGGCAGTATGACCAGAACAGGCGAAGCCCTGGAGGACGAGGCAGGTGGGGAAGGATGACAGATCTCAAGGGCTTGGCATGCGTGGAGAATGAAGAAAGGCTTAGCTTGGGGTGGGGAGGAGGATACATTCTGGGAGTGGGGGTTATAAGGAATGCCTGAAGGAGGAAGTAGGGCTGGATTCTGAAGGGTCTTCAGCCTGCTGGGGAATGTAGTTATCATGGGTGTTGTGAACTTTCCTATTAGGCCCTGAGGTTTTAAACTGGGAACGATACAGTGGATCCGCCATGAAAATTTTTCCCCATACTGTGCCCACATCTACTTCCTTGTGTCTGCTCTTCCAGGGGCTTGATTTGCCCGATGGAGAGATGGAGAGATGGAGATGTGGGCTGGCCTCCAAGGCCTTTGCAAGTTGTTGTTCTGGTACTCTAGAACCACTGTCTCTTCCCAGGAACCACACAGACATGCAGTTCCCTGATGCTATAGTTGAAGAGAGGAGGCTGGGTCTCCCCCTGGAACTAGAGAAGACTTCTTGGCCAGAGTTACTAAAAAGTGCGGATCTGAGGATTATTTGCATTTGAATTACTGGGGAGGTTTGGGAGCTTTTGTTTTTCACTTTTAATTCAGACTCCTAGGTGACTTTGATCTACTCAGTTTCATTCTGGATGAGCAGAGCCCAGGTATCTTCATTTTAAAGCACTGTAGGTGATTGGTCTGCATAGGAAAGTTTAGAAACTAGAGTCATCTGCCAGCTAAGTGTCAGGCTCTGAAATACCTTTTCTGCCCCTTTCTCCAAAACTTATCTGGGCTTTCACCTGGAAAAGTAGAACTGGGGGAGGAAGGGTGCACACATTCCTCACCTGGCTCTGTCTTGCTATTTAGGTCATCTAAGGATGTTCTCAGACATATCCTGGAGCCTGAGTACTCACTTAGCCCACAGCTGCTTGTGGAACTTATTGAGTCTTCTCTGGGTACGACTCTGGGCTTCCAAGATGGCGCTTGATTATCAACTTTGTGTGTGATCTCCGATATGTCACCAGACCCAATGGGCTGCTAGATAGATTCCTCATCTGTCAATGTTTATTGAGCTCTTGCTATGTTATGACCTCCGTGAGAGGTACTGGAGACAAAGTAGTGGATGAGAAAAACATCATTCCTTTCCTGTTGGAGCTTGAAGTTTAACAGACACTTTCAGAATGTCAGGGAAGTACTGGGAACGTTGAGATCTCAGAGAAGGGGCACTTAACAAGCTATCTCCTGTTGCTTGTGTATAGTAATGGTAGATGATTGTGTTGTGTGATAACTTGTTGGATATATCCCTTATAGTGAGGAACACGATGTGCTCTGAGAAAACCAGATATTCCTAATGTCAGTATCCTGACATAAAGAGCTTCCAGGGCCAGGAATGTAGGTTTGTTACTCAATCCTTGGGTAGAGATGAAAGGAATGTCTCTCTATGTTCTCTCGCAGGCCTGCATCTGAGAAATCTGGATAGGCCTGAGTGCATCCAAGCAGCCTATACCACTGTAAGGCAGGAAGCAAGGGACCAAGGTTGGGCAAGGTGACAGTTTGTGGCTGGGAGGAAATTCACTTTTGTGTTCTACAGGGTTATTACTTCTAGTCCTTTCTGAGTGTCTTCACTTGCTAGGCTTGCTCTATCAAAGCACCACACACTGGGTGGATTAAACAAACAGACATTTATTGTCTTAGTTCAGGACACCCGAAGTATGAAACCAAGCTGTTGGCAGGGTAGGTTTCTTCTGGAGGTTCTGAGAGAGAATTTGTTCCATGCCTGTCTCCTAGCTTCTGATGCTTGTTGGCAATTCTTTGTGTTCCTTGGCTTGCAAAAGCATCAATCACATCTTGCCTCTGATGTCACATGGCACTCTTCCCTGTCTCTCTTCCAAGTTTCTGTGTCCACATCTCCTTCTCTTCACTCATTGGATTTAGGGCTCTAATGTAGTATGACCTCATCTTAACATGAATGCATCTCTAAGGACCCTGTTCCCAAAGAGGTCATATGCGCAGGTATTGTGCATTAGGGCTTGAACACGACTCTTTTGGGACTCAGAACAAGCCATTGCAGTGAATGTCTTGCAAAGTGTTATCAATCATTCTAATATCAGTTAAGTAAAGATGCCATGTTTGGGTTCAAGTCATGTGAAAGGGAGAGTATTGTCCTCTGACCCCAGCTTGGTACAAATCTTGTGAGAGTTTCAAAGGAAAAGTGGCTTCGGAGGAAGGAAGACTAAGAATTTTAAGACTGATTCCTTAAGAGATCCTCCCTCTCCTGCTGTCTTTGGACAATCTTGGTGTTATTTTCTTTGAGATGCTGGTTGATTATAGGTTTACTTTTCCAAACTACATTTCCATACTGGAGTTAACAAGATGAAAGAGGAGTGAGCCATTAAAGAGGATGGGGATTCTCAGAGACCATTTATATATTAGAGGGAAGAATCTCCAGTAAATAAATCCCTGTTTAATTACTGTTAAATTACTGTCTAATACAGTGTTTCCCAAATTTACTTAATTGTGTGGTTCTTTTTTTGTAAGACAATATTTATTAATTATATACTGTTGTGTGACATATTGCCCCAAAACTAAGTGATTTAAAACAACAATAAAAAGTTATCTCTCACAGTTTCTGGGAGTCAGAAATTTGGTGTAGCTTGGCTGAGCAGCTTTGTCTTGGAGTCTTTCATGAGGCCTCAGTCATCTAAAGGTTTTGCTGGGTCCATTTTCCAGTGGTTTATTCTCATGGCTGGCAAGCTGGTACTGGCTGTTGGCAGGAGGACTCAGTTCTTCATCTCCTGGACCTGTCCATGAGGCTGCTTGAATATCTTCATGCCAAAGCAGTTGGCTTCCCCCACATAAACACTCCAAGAAGCCACAGTGGAAAGTTTATAACTTAGACTTGGAAGCTACACAGTCACCTCATCACACTCTGTTGGTCACATAGACCATCCCTAATTCAATGGGCGAACACTTATAGCTGAGGGTAAGTTTGGAAACTAAAGTGCTACACATATGAATTCATTCAGCAAATAGCTGGTATGCTTTATATGGCAAGCATTGTTCTAAACACTGAATATACAGCAATAAACCCACCATATTGCTCATGGAGCATTCTTGTGACACCTTACTCAATATCTTCTTGAGACAATCCGGGAAATGCTGCTTCACAGGGATTTAGAGAAGGAGATGAGGATTATGAAAATAGGATGAGAAATGCTAAGATGGAGGAATTTACATTACCACGGACACCCAGGCTTCTGACCTAGGCTTGGGGGACAGTCAATGATGAGTTCTAGGAATAAATGACATGTGGAGCAAGCCAAGCAAAAAGGAGAATGGGGTTGAGGAAAGAGTGTTGCAGGCAGAAAGACAGTACGTACAATACCCCAGAGTTTGATATAGTTGGGGAATTGAAAAATTTAAGTAAGATAGGAGATGTGTGCATGTGTGTGTGTGTGTGTGTGTGCGTGTGTGTGTGTGTGTGTGTGTGTGTGTGTAGCATGAGGAGAGGTGGAAAATGTTGAAAGATGAGGTTAGATTTCATGACAGACTGTGGAAGGGAAAAGACACGTAGGAGTCAGTGGTAGTGTCCACGTTTCTAGTTAGGGCAATACATGGGCAGGTAGAGGGAGGCCGTTGTCAGTCACAGTGATAATAGGAGGGAGAAGAATAGATGCGGATTACAGAGGTTTAGGTTGGGTATAAGATGAAGCTGTCTGTCCACACTGAACATCAGCTGAATGTGGGTTGCTGTGAATGTGTTATAGGTTATCAAATCTGCAGCTACTTTACAGGTATACAAGTATTGAACAAATAAATTGTAGCTAATGGGAGACATTCTTCTCACTGTCAGGACATCAGGACCTGACACTCAGGAGAGAGAGCTGCAGACATCATATATATAGAGAAAGCAGCTGAGTGCATAGGAGATCACCTAAGATAACCCAGAGGATGAGGAGGAAGCTCAAGGCACTGCCATGAGGAGGAGACATATTTAAGGAATGGCCAGAGAAAGAAGATACTGCCAAAGAGGACAGGTTATCTAGAGAGGCAGGATGAAAACCAGGAGAGTGTGGGTTCTGAGAAATGAGGGAAGGCAGCATGTCAGGAAGGAGGGAGACGTAAAAAAGATGATTAGTCGTGTTGGACTTTGGTGAGGGTTTTCCAATTGCAGGTGAGAATAGAGTGTGACAGGTAATTGGAATGTGAGGAAATTGAGACTCCTAAAGAAGAACTTTTAAAAAGAAAATTGGTTCCTGGAAACATTTGTAGAGTCGTTTTTGGACATTAAGGCGTGGTTAAATAAGTTATTACAATCAGTATGAAGGAATATTGATTATCCAGCTACTCAAAATGATGATGTTCTCTCAGATCAAATACCTGAACTGGATTTAATGTCCACAAACTGGGTTCCTCCTATAGTGAGGATCACTGGTTTGTCTTGGAGTGTACTGTACACTCTGGCAACTTACCTCAGGCTTGTGGAGCCTGGCTCCTCTCCTCAGGTTGGGGTGGCACCACTGCAACTTGCTTACCATTTTTCTCTGCATTGCATTTCTGATTTTCCACACAGCTTATGTATTTCTGACACTTCTTTGTTGGTTTTCCAAGTTTTTCCTATACTTCTGCTCAGTGGATTTTTTGGGCAGTATTGGGAATCAGAATCTAGGGGTGCTTTATCAGTGAACTACATCCCTAGACTTTTCAATTATTATTATTGATTTTTACTTTTGAGGTAAGGTCTCACTAAGTTACACAGGCAGGATTTGAACTTGTGATCCTTCTGCCTCTGCCTCCCTCAGTGTTGGGATTACAGGTGTGCCCCACCATGCTCAGCTATACAGGATTCTTTTTTTTTCTTTTTATTGAGTTTATTGGTACAATCCAGATATACAATACAGTTGCATTCATCATTGGAATTCTGTACCTTTACATAATAGGTCTTGATTCTCATTTTTCCCCCTTGTCCCTGCCCTCCCTTCACCCCCTCCTCCCCTCCCCATTTACAAACACGTTATTTCCATTTTTTCAGTTTCTCATATTTTTTTCCTCTCCCTTATTACCTTTCCTCCCAGCCTTCCCACTTTCCCTACACCTTTAGCCCTTTACTTCCTATTTCACATTATTAATTATCTCATTAGGATCCTGTGTACTATTATAGTTTTTCACACCAAAGAAACTATTCGGTATTTCAGTTAAATAAATCTCTGTATGAACATTAAAAATAGGGAATCCTAAAATAAAACTAAAAAGGAAAGTAAAAGAGAAAAGGCAATGATGTAACATTAAAATAATCCTTAATTCTGGAGATGAAAATGGTCCCTGAACATATTTAAATTGCTTCTTGCTCTTATAGTCTTATCTTATTCTTTTTTTTCATTATTTAGAGAATACTTTATTAGTTTCTGTAATCAAACCCACGTAGATATGACCTTACATATTTAGTATGATGTGTTACCCCTATACAGGATTCTAATATCTCCTTTAATGTCCCAAATATCTCACTTGCAGAGTCACTAAAAGGCTACTTTCATTCTGCCATCTTGCTCCAACTAGACTCTAAAATAATGTTGTTTATCGAACAAGTAGCCTGGTTTCTTTCCATAAAAAATTCTCATTTCAAAAATAAGAGGAAAGAAAGAGATGGAAAAGGAACTCTATATGTTAAAACATGCTTAAAGGATATATCAGTAGTTTAGCTGTTTCTTATAACATTAAACACAGACTTACCATATAACACCATCAGCAATGGCTTCTTTACATATTTTCTCCAGTGAATAAAAAATTTAGGTCCACACAAAATCCCTTTCTCAGATGTTTACAGTTTTATTCCATGATGAATAAATGCAGAAATAAGTACAGTATAGATACGTTGTGTTTAGATGGTGAGTAAATATACCTGTGTTTGCTAGGTTTGTCTGCTAAGGGCCTGAAAGAAGTAACACTCCATTAGTAACAAGCACACAGTATCCAGACCTTGGCTTCTAAATACCATTTTCTAATAAAAGGAACTAGTATTCCTTGAGCAAATGCTTAATTCTTGAGCCTGAGCCATGCTAGAATTTGGATATGGTTCAAGTGTGTTCCCCCAAAGCTCATGTGTTAGAGACTTGGCCCTCAGGCTGGCAATGTAGAGGTGATGTGGAGCCTTTAGGGGCTGGGCCCAGTGCTAGGAGGGCCTCAGGTCAATGGGAGTGGGGTGGGGCCAGTGCTCCCCTGATGAGAATGTGGAACCTCAGCCTTTCTGACTTCTTGTTTTGAGATGTGGCTCCTCCTTCTCTCAGCTGTGCTCTCCCGCACCATGAAGTCCCTACCAGAGGCTGAACCAGTGTCCCCTCTTCTCCCCAGTTGATCTTGGACCTTAGTTTACTTCTGGTATTTCATAGTAACAAAAAATGGACTAATACAGGCAGAGAATGTACAATACTGGCACTTAAAGTAAGGAAGCAAGTAAGGAAGTTTTAAAAAAAGGAAAAAGGAGGGGTGAAGCATATCAGAAGGACACAGGAGCCAACCTGGAAGAGTCCCAGGGGCCAAAGCCTAGGCAATTATAGCAGAGTAATAAATAACGATGACATTGAGTTATAACCCTGTTTTACTTACTTTTCTCTTGTTGCTGAGACAAAGTACCTGACACCCAAAGTTAAAGAGGGCAAGGTTTATTTTGCTCGCAGTTTGTAGAGGTTTCAGTCCATAATTGGCTGGCTCCAAGGCAGGGACAGCAAACAGGCATCACAGAGGAGAAAAAACATGGCACACATAAAGTAGCAAAAGCAACAAGAAACCTTAACTGCTTTTCCCTCCCCCTTTTATCTTATTCAGGCTACAGAGGGTGGGTAGCACTCATGTCCTTAATTCTAGTGCCCTTGGGGCTAGCCCCCCCATGAATCAATCACACACTCTAGATTCAGCCACCCCCAAAATAGCCTATGACCACATGAGGCTCTGGGGGTCCAGACATAAACCATAACAAACCCCAAGAATAAAATACATATTTATGAATCCACACTGATATAAATAAATGGTTAAGTAAATAACTAAATGGGAGAGAAGGGACAGATCTTCCTTGCAGAAGAATTCTAGTTACTAAATGTAGAAAGAATGAAGGAACTAAAATATCATCATCAGGGCTGGGGATTTAGCTCAGTGGTTCCACGGCCTGCCTCGCAATCACAAGGTCCCAAGTTCAATCCCCTGGTAGCAATGTAAAATAAAATAAAATAAAACATTGCCATCAGGTTATCATAATCATAATTGCTATAGGCAAGGCTTGTTAATGAAAACTAAAATCTGTAGATAAAACTTTAAACGTATTTGCAAGGCCTTCAAGTGTCTGTCTCTAAATACACTAACTACCATGGTGATTTTATCACACTGTCAAAATACTCTGAAACCTCTTCCTCTAGGAGGTGAAGCTTAATGTCCCTTGCCTTGAGTGTGTTCTGAACATAGTGATTTGCTTCTGATAAGTAGAGTATGGAAAGGGGAAAATAGCAATTTTGGTACAGAAACATCACAAACATCACCTTAACCAAACATCACCAGCAATAAGTCCCATTGACATCGCATACCTCCT